ATACGGTGTATTCATTTTTATACCTTGATACTCGATTAAATAGCTTGTAAAGCGGTTTCGGAACATCCATGAAACCGGTTCTTAATGGATCCCTCTTCGAATGGTATGTGCATAGCGATCATTACACATCACGTCCGTTCGAGGAGGAAAAAGCCCTCCAAAAGAAGGTAATTTAGTTTATCCAATAAATTACAAACGGATACACATAAATCGAAAAGTAATTTAATTTATGCATTAATAAATCTCTACGAAAATATACGTAAATCTATGTGTAAGTAGATTTACAAATCGATACATTAAAAGTATTCTACCAATCATAGATGCATAATTTGATGCGATAAGTGTTTATCGCCGTTTATTTTTAAACCACGAGCCACGAGTCAAACTGAAGGAAACGCGAAAGCCTATGTGCATTATATAATTACAAGTTTCATAATTTTAGGTTGCGGCGTATATTACATTAACACTGAGTTCACGGCCCTACAGGCCTTCCCATGTGATTAGTTTAGTTAATTTTCTCTGTTGAGGGCTGAAATCGACCCCCAGAGGCGTTGGAACGTTTATATTACCATACATATATGTCATCAGGCAGAAACTAAACACACAATACGATGACGTCAAACGAAATGTTATGAATCCCCTAAAATTCGGAACCTTTGCTGCTTGACGTTAAATTTAAATATTGCTAATTACACTCCCAAGTAAGAAGACGAACCTAGACGAAACAAGAGCCGATAATAAATTTTCAATATCTTTCTCTCTCTCGCTCTCGCTCCGTTTACCGTGTAATAAACGTTACAAGTTTTATTGCATTTGATATTAACCCCGCGCATACAAATTATGTACATGTAACAACGAAACATGAGGACGTTCACCGTGACTTTATTTAAACTGAGAAATATGAATTATATACACGTATCTGCGCTGAGTACGACGAACGCAAAGTTATTACACAGTCAGTTATCGTGCCCGCGTATTTTAGCTTCTCGTATTACGATATTATATTTATATTAGAAACTAAATTTACCTCAAGAAAATGGTCGGTATCACACGAAATGCAAATACGCTCGGGATGTAATTAATATACTTCCGTGTTCGACTTCGAGTTTCAAGGAAGTTATATACGTAGTCTGAATTATTGCTGATCTTAGAGCTTTTTGTGGCGGATAACAAGGTAGGGGGCTTAGCTTTCATAGCTGTCTATTGTGCGAGAAGACTTTCTTAATGACATTACCTGGGCGTCGCATTGCGTCAATGTGATATTGGCGGACTTTCCAGCACTTCGATTGACAATGAGGCACGGTCAATGGAAGTCGAACCCGATTACCTCGATGAAAGGAATCGTAGGGCATTTATTTCTCGAAAAATTGTTACTAGATTATAGAAATACTCATCCCCGTGAATTTATTTCATTTTCAAGATTTGGATATAATTGACAGAAATCCTATATATCTTCGAATTCAATTTATTATATTTAACAAGTTAAAGTTAGAACTGCATACCTAATTTTAGAATTCTCTGGGGAAGAACACGATTTTCTCAATTCTCTCGAAAGTTTGAAAATACTAACAGGTGAAATAATTATTACCTATTATATTTCATACGGAGAGAATCAAATTAGATTTACTAATTACATTAGCGAAATGATTGTTGCATGAACTATGGCATTTCACAAATAGTCAGATAACTAATAATTAAACAATCGAATATACTTATATGGCTTTTCTAAAAAATTGATTCAAATGTACAAGGTGTCGAATATACGAATATTAATTAATTAAGTCTTTAACGACAAATTCGATCTTGAGTTGTAAATTAAATTGAAACTAGTAACAAAATATTTAGGATTTTCTATTTTTAACGCCGGAAAAGTTAACTAGCACTAGCGGAGGTAGCTCGTGTGTTCAAAATCCGCTTTATCTGTGAACATCTGTTTCGTGGAGCGCAGTTTCCGCGATACAATGGTGAAACAATAGAAGTAGCTTTAGCACTTCGACCGCAGACATGCAATTCATCACTTCGTCACAAGACTTTTATGACGTGGTCACGAAGTAATGTCCCGTCTTGACAATATTAACGTGCCGCGGTATCGATTTATCAGTAACCTGCACGCAATGTTGTTAATAGCACCAGCATTATCAACCGACTATTACAGAGGCGACTAAAAAATAATTGCCGTACAATTTTGCGATGTTCGCAAACCGGAAATACTTTGTGTTTCTGTTATTACTGACCATAAAGCGTTTCGTGGAGATTTACCATTCCTTGGGAATATAAAACTATGATGATTTCTGCAAGAAAAGAGTAGTGATGATGTAGAGATAGACATTAAACGAAGAATACATTGTACTCAGTATTGCGACATTACTTATTATAACTGTACAATGTTATCACGATTCCGTTTTCTGTCTACAAAATAAGAAAGTTTTAAATTAAATGTTTGAGTCCTGAACATGTCACCTCTATTTTTTTATTGCTTGAATAATACTTTGCAAAATTTTCACTTAGATACACTTAAATACATTTCTGTCATAATATTACAATTTCAGTTTCTGCATTATATCCTAATAGACATGCCATGTCGATAAGTATATACAAAATTATAGCATAATGGTAAACAGTCTTATCACTACCAAGTATCATTTTTTAATTAGCATTTGATTTTATTCTACTGCTTCTTTAAGTATTTTTTTCTAAATTTTTGTACCGTTATCTTTACGTTTGCAAATTATTGTCAAACAATTCTCAACTTCACAGAATATATTCAAAATATAATTATGAGTTTTGTAGGCATACAATTTTATAACGCTGCTCGACTGGATTATATTATATAAATTATTCTTATCATTTTAATTTTGAAATAAACTGCATTTTTATAAACTGTATGAACATTTAATTAATTTCTTTTTTTTCGTATATCCGCATTCCCTAAATTTTTTATTATAAAATGGGGCTAACTAAGGAAAATCTGTGACTTGCACATATATATTATATATGCACATGTGTGTGCGTATTATATATTCTGCCTTTTTTAATAGAAAGTTCGTATAACTGGCAGGGAATGTCGCCGTTGTTCTCTGGGTCGCGCACAGTCATCCGACATTATTACTCCCATTTCCCGCTCGTTATCGTGATGAAAGTGAATTATTTAGCAGCAGCTAATTAATTAGTACCATCAGGTGAACATGGCTGTCTCATCGCAATATAATTTCCCAGGCCAAATGACCTCGCTCGCTGCGTGGGATAATTACTCGCGGATCTGTATTTCCGTCGTGTCTTCGAAACACTTTGTTATTATGATCGTGCTATTTTTTTTTCGCGATTATGACAGCCGGTATCGACTGCAGCCGTGGGTGTACCGCGGTGGTACCGTGCTGGTACCGGAGGTAAAAGGCAAGATACATCAGTAGTTTGTTTCGCAAAAGGAGTAACGCTCCGTAACGTCGAAAGCAACATTATTTTTGCGTTATCTGAAATTATTGCACGTTTTGCGAAAGTCATTAAGCCCGATTAGGACAACAATTTGAATTGACCTTTCATCGAGAGATATGCAAAGCAGCGTGTCTTCGTCGTCCAACATGACAATAAGGTTGTCTCGCGCATAATGTATATTATAATATCACTGCCGATAATCCCGCGACTGCGCTCCTTTTTTCCTTTTTTTTCCCTTTTTTTTTTTTTAATAATAATAATAAAATTGCGGCCCACCGTCGACCACAGTCGATACGATTGTGACTATGGATAGCGATTTACACGGGACACAATGCGATAAGAATGTGACAATATATGCGAGGTATATATAAACGAGTTCATCGCCAATTCTTATCTGATCCACCTCAGACTCATAGCCGGACGTAATTGCATATGTGCAAATTGCATGTCATTGTATCGCCGGTTCTATTTGTAGGAAGAGCAGCATGAAAACTCACACACATTGAGCAGCTGATCGAAACGAAATGTCCCGTTTAAAAATGGCATTTTCTCCGCGATCGATGTGTGTGCCCCGAATTAGTCATGTGCTAAGTGCCTACCTAAGTGTCGCAAAGTGCTCCGGTTACCCTTAGCTGCACATATGCTGACATATGCACTTTTCGTCCGCGCGGTCTCCTCGTATTTCCGTTCTCGTAATCGCCGCGGCGTATGCAACAAGCATAAAAATCGAAAAAAAAACCTTTCTTGAAAGCTTGGCGTAAAATGATCCGCCGGAATATCATTATTGATAATAACGTTAAAATTAATTTCGCATTAATGAAGGGTGCATTAAGAGATGTATAAATATCAAAATATTGCATATAAAATATTAAAATACATATAGACATGTAAAATATTAAATACATAGATATATAAAATATTGAAGTACATATCTGTACCTTACAGGTAAAGAATCGTATCTTCAGTTTTTATCAGAATGGAGAGAGTACTTTTTCCAATATATCAGAAGCTTAAATTGTATAATGGTAAAAGATCTTACGTCCATTATTGCTAGTTCCTAAAATACAGCGTTTCGAAGAAGTCATATTGGAAATTTTCAGAGAGATAATAAATTTTAAATCCTGCTTTCTCTCAATTTATAATAATGGAGATATTTACCTCCATTCTTTACCTCCAAGGTATACAGATATACCTAAGATATTATACGAGAAAAACTTGAGTGGATATATTTATTGTGTTCTATAAATACTACCGAGAGAAGCGATCGATTTTTATAACGAATTTTCACTCGTCTCTCGCAAGTCGTATCGCGCTTGTTCCATCTTCGCGGATTCCATCTTCATTTCCGACCGTGCGCAATACGCGAAAAGAAAAAGTCCGAGTCTCAGCCGCGATTCGTAGAATCGTGATAAGCGTGCGTAAAGCTGAAGCGGATGATCGATCTGCCGAAAGAATTCTAGTTGCATCTCCCGGGCAACCTTTTAATATCAACTCGGGAATTCCCGATACGATAGGAATTCACGCACCACCGAATTCATAATGAACTTGGGATCATCTTTCTGTTGCAGAGCGCTGAAAACCGGCCCAGTCCTCAGTCATGTGATTCCACGAAGGCCCCGCACAATTACTAGTACACGGTTGTGAGTACCTCGTTTTAAGCCACGAGTCGAGAAATCCGTATCGCGAGTCCACGCACGGGCGGACTGGGTGATGAGCTCGTGGTACAAGCCGTGGAAGACTGACGCCGTTGAAAGATGTTCCGCTCCAAGATTCGCATTCACACGTGTCAAGTGATACTGCTGACGTCCCTGGTATGGTTCCTGGTCGACGTCATGGTGCTCATGCTCTATTCGGACTGCATCGGAGGGTCCGGATGGGGCTGCTCGGACAAGCAGCAGCAGCAGCAGCAGGCGCTTCAGTCCGAGGATCCGTCTCAGTTGCATCCGAAGGCGCAGATCAGGGAGCCGCAGGCGTTGAAGCAGGACCATAATGATAAGAGGCAATATCCGCAGTCGCAGCTGCACCTATGGCGTCCGGCGAAGGTCGTCAAGGAGAATAAGGGCAGCCCTGGCGAGATGGGGGCGGCGGTGCACATCGCACCGGAGAACGAGGCCAAGCAGCAAGAACTGTTCAAGCTAAATCAGTTCAATCTGATGGCCAGCGACATGATCTCCTTGAACCGATCCTTAAAGGACATCAGACTCGAGGGTTGTAAGAATAAGAAGTACACCAAGTATCTTCCAGACACGAGTATCGTGATAGTTTTCCATAACGAGGCGTGGACCACTCTGCTGCGAACAGTCTGGTCCGTGATAAACAGGTCTCCCAGGTCGCTGCTGAAGGAAATCATCCTTGTGGACGACGCGAGCGAGCGTGGTACGTTCACATTCGCGTTCTCGAACAAGCGTAACTTGTGCGACGAGCACCAATGTTTTTATTATTTTGTAATGTAGATTGATTTGTCTGTATCGCGTAATAGTGAACGACCAACTGTATGTTTGAATGAAAAAAAATATAAACATTCCGTATCGATAGAGAATTGCAAGAATCGTAGTTGTAAAATTTGGACCGAGATAACCGGTGAAAATTTGATTTTCTAGAGCACCTGAAGCAAGATTTGGAAGACTACATAGCCACGCTACCCGTTCCTACGTACGTGTATCGCACCGAAAAGAGGTCGGGCCTGATAAGAGCAAGGCTTTTAGGGGCAAAGCACGTCAAGGGACAAGTAATCACATTTCTCGATGCGCACTGTGAGTGCACCGAGGGTTGGTTGGAGCCGCTATTATCAAGAATCGCAAACGACAGGCATACCGTTGTCTGTCCGATCATAGACGTAATCAGCGACGACACCTTCGAGTACATCCCGGCGAGCGATATGACCTGGGGAGGTTTCAATTGGAAATTAAACTTCAGATGGTATTACAGCCTTAACGTTACAACGTTATAAGCGTCATGAATTTTAATAACATTACGCTCCTATATTTTAACCAAAATAGTTAAATCTCTCCTGCCTTCTAAAAAAAAAAGGACACACACGAGACATTTGAGTTGCAAATGTGCAAATCTACATATTTTGCAAGTCATGAATAGTTAGATTGGCCTATAGCTAAATCCGCTTGAAATATTAAATCTATTGATCCCTTCTGACATGTATATTATTGACATAAATTTATGTCTCCGTTAAATTACCGTAGTTTCATAAATTCTGCGATTTTTAAACTACCATACTCATAAATTCAATACTTCTCGTTCTAATTTAGTTACAGCTATATATAACGATGTGATAATCAATAACAATTTCTCTTCTTTCCTTCAGTGTGTAATTACGAGCTTTCGAGTTTACAAATCATTTATGGTTCCCGCAATACTGACCACAAACGTGCACATTTACTGTGTTTATTTAATTGAATTAAAATTATCTATAATTAATTTCGAAATTCTGAAACAAAACGCATTGGCAGTATCTCAAATGATATATTAATGCAACGTGCGTTTGTTAATTTTTTATTCTTTTTAAACAAAATATTAATATTATATTGATTTTGCTCAATAAGGTACAGAGTCGCCCAGAGAGAAATGGACAGGAGGAATAGCGACAGAACGGCACCGCTACGAACACCGACTATGGCCGGTGGATTGTTCTCTATTGATAAAGAATATTTCTATGAGTTGGGCGCGTACGACGAAGGCATGGACATCTGGGGCGGTGAAAATCTTGAAATGAGCTTCCGGGTGAGCATTCTTTAAGAGTAAAGAAAATTACCAGTTTATAATGCGATTATCCACGAAAATTTTATACAGCATGAGCTTGTATCCAACAAAATCACATGGCAAATAGATTAATTAATCTAAGAGATTAACAATGATTATTTATATATATATGAAGGAAAGAAGACCAAAATGTTTGAAAAGTTGCTGATTTCATGCTGATCTTCTAATTCCATATATTTTATGTGTAAATTAATTTGTAGGATTCTCTGAAACTTGACTTTTGCTCATTACAAAAAACGATTTCATCATTTCTAATATCCAGTAATAAATAATAACTCTTTCCTTTATCTTGTATTGTTATCTATTAGAGATAACTGTGCACTATTGTGACTATTAGGATATTTGACAAAGTTTTTGAAGGGTCTTCAAAGGGTATTCTCGCACAAATTTCCGTTGTTATTTGTGAAGTCATAAGTGCCTTGTAGGTGTGGCAATGTGGCGGAACGTTAGAAATCAGTCCGTGTTCACATGTGGGACATGTATTCCGGGACAAGAGCCCATATACATTCCCTGGTGGTGTCAGCAAGATAGTCCTGCACAATGCGGCTAGGGTGGCCGAAGTCTGGATGGATGAGTGGAGAGATTTTTACTATGCCATGAATCCAGGTTAGATAATCAAGTGTATCGTTTAATTAATTTTTCCCCAATGTTGTATTGCTAAATTGCGCTAAATGATGCCACATCGTTATACGTATCAATTATACATGTCCCATACATGGTGTACCATACATGGTGTACCATTCAAACGTGTTATTTACTCACATCTTCGTCTCTCAAAATTATTGCGTATATATAAACACATATATATTTGATGTAATTAAAAGGAACTATTGAAAAATTTGTTAGAATTTAACACATTTATTTCAGGATTAATAGCATTGTTTCAAAATATAGCTGGTACTCATATAGCGCTTATATACCGAAAGCAATGTTAATTGACGATGTTAATTGACAAAGCATTTTTTGAAACTGCATTATTATATTCTACAATAATATTATATTATAGATATTATATTATTCAAGCGAAACTCTATATAACATATTTGACGGGTATCTGATACAAGCCATTTATATTACCTCATGAAATTATTATGATTCACACAGCTATGTGAATTGCAGTTGTTTTTGAATGCATTATTTCCTTGTTAACAAGTTGTTTCTCCGTTTAACTAATAATTAATAACAGTCTTATGTTAATACATTTTCATAAAATAGTTTTTAACACATTAGCTATACATCCACAAATATACCATAAAGTTAGTTAATCATCTTTTGTATGTCTTGTGCACATTATAATTTATGTGTGTATTTACTAATATTTCATACATAATACACATTAGTAGTTATATTACATTATATTGCTAATATCTAAACTAAATCAAGATCTCTAACTACAGAAATTATTCTAATCTTCGCGATTGCTGTCATCAAAATATTTTACTCCAATTTGTTTCTTTGATCGACCAAACGATAAATACACTTCTGTACGATATAGAAATTAGAGAATGACCACAGTCATTAAACATGATCATTGAATGAACGTATTTCAGGTAAATTTTATTTCTATGTCTCGTTACGAATGCTGATGTAGTCTTAACCACTCATCCATCCAGCCGACTAACCAATTGAAAATTGCGCTTGCTTTTAATGGAATTCTCTTATCAGACTACATTATAGGTGCCGCAAGAGAAGAGATTTCTAAATCTACCACGAGGCGCAGAATACGATTTATCATATTTGCCATGTGTTGTATTTTTTTTTCTTTTTGTCTCTTATCGTGTTACTATCATTTGTAACTGCTAACACACTAACAGAACTGAGTTGGTTAGATATGGATGTGTGGTGGGACATTGGAAATTGCGACATGCTCGCACGTCGGGCATGTATTCCGTAAGTCAACCCCGTATACCTTCCCGGGCGGTACCAGCAAGATAGTCAACCACAACAATGCGCGGCTCGCAGAAGTTTGGTTGGACCAATGGAAGTACTTCTATTACAACATTAATCCAGGTAGCACTAACACTGGCGTATCTCGTACAAAAAAAAAAGAGAATTTATCCCTATGTATCTCTTTCTATGCCTTGGTTGCTTTGCAATGACGCATGCTTTGGAAGATCTCTCTGCATGTTTCTTTATCAATCATTTTCGTTTACGGCTTCGGGTGCTCGCTGTCTCTATCAGATACCCGTTAACATTTATTTAAAACATCATTGCTATTACGTTCTCTCAACGCTGTAATGTTGTTACTTAATAATCCATTAGACAACGATGGATATAATGTACAATAAACGAGAACGATAATGCAAATAAGATATGTAGAGGTGTACTTGGAGAATAAATAATAAGTCACGCATGGCATTAAGGGTTCTGTGTGATACTATTATAGTCAAAAGGTTATTGTTAAAGGGAGATATTCTATTATAGTGGCAAACATATACAAGTAACATGAATACGAAGCATACATGTATTCATAGTAGTTTCCTAATTGACAATATGTGTATAAAATTACTCAAATATAAAACAATGTTGATAAAGCACAATACATTTCTGCACGCTACATTTGCAGATGTATGAACAGTATTGTATGTGTGTGTGTATATATATGTGTATATGTATATAAATCAATGCTACGTCATAAAGTTCTTTACATAAACTTCTTTCAGATTTCCAGAAAAAAATGCATAATTGCACAATTATTTTTTAGGAGCAAGCATATGGCAATTAATGTATCATACAATATACCATGGTCACAAATTTCTTTATTTTTAGCACAAAATCCTCTGAAAAATCTTCTTTTCAACCAATTTACATGCAAGCACAATATGTAAAAAGATATATGTGAATAAATTCGTCGTTTGTAAGCTCTTGTAGCGTTACAGAAAATCAATTTTTTTAGGGGCGCGAAACGTCGACGTCGGTGACGTTTCCGAGCGGGTAAAACTCAGAGAACGACTGAAATGCAAAAGCTTCAGATGGTATTTGGAGAACATATATCCAGAATCGCCAATGCCGTTAGATTATTACTATCTCGGCGATGTGAAAAACGTTGAAACGCAAACTTGTTTGGATACTATGGGCAGGAGAACCGGGGAAAACGTCGGAATTAGTTATTGTCATGGATTGGGTGGTAATCAGGTTTGTATTTATTCTGGATACTGAAGTAATTCACACGTTTTGATAGAAATCGAGAGATAGTGTTTCTATTTCGAACGTTATTTCTAACGAGAACTGTGTTATCCAGGTATTTGCTTACACTAAACGGCAACAGATAATGTCTGATGATATGTGCCTTGATGCAGCTAGCCCACAAGGTCCAGTAAAGATCGTACGATGTCATGGCATGGGTGGTAATCAAGCGTGGGTTTATAACGATGAGGTAAGAGAAACATGATTAGAGAAAAAAAGATGCTTAAATATTATAAAGAAAACAGATATCTATAGATATAAAAAAGAAAGATGAAACGTAGTTTAACAATTAATATTAATAATCAATAAACATAATTAATATTAATGTACACCGTTTCTTTCAGACCAAAATGATTAAACACACAAATACGGGTTACTGTTTGTCAAAACCCCACTCGGGCGATGCCTCGCAACCCGTCTTGGCGCAATGCGATGTCAACAACATCGGCCAAAAATGGATTATGCGTAGCAAATTCAAGTGGCAGGCCAGCTAATACGAATCGACTTTAAGCGCCAGACCTATACGCAATATTTGTTAATATGTTTAATAAATTGTAACCAATGGACTGATCGCAAAGGACTTCCCAAGTGCGCGTATGAGAAGAGATAATGAAGTATTATAACTAGTGGCGAAGAAACGGTCCAATATCACATCTAATGTGTACGTCAAATGAATTGACAGTGCGCGACAGGAATCGATTCTCGTCGAAATCGCGTCAGAAATCGTAGTTAAATAATTAGATTCTACAGGATTTATTTACCATTGATAAAGCAGTATCGCGAATTTACTGCCATTCCTTGTGGTACGGTCCTTACGGTACGCCTTGATCAATGCACAATAGTGACAGAGAATGAATTTCTCTGATCGCGTGTGAACATAAGTGATACTAAACGACGAACAGAGTGAACTCCTTTTCTTCTTTTCTGGCTGAGAAGCAGTAAAGAAGGAATCATATCAGACCACTGTTATAAATAATTGTTAATAACAAAAGAGAGAGAGACATATTTGATAATTTCGAATGAGTGCAATGACGAATGACTGACCGGTTAATCAGTACGCAACGAAATGAAATGTGAATATGCTAGAAATGCATCGCGAGATTATGACGGAGTGAATGCTGGAATGTCAGTGAAGTTGATGTGACGCTACCGCGATAATAATATAGAAAAAAATTATTATTGTACAATCCATTTAATAACTAGGGAAGAGCACTGGATCTTTTTATATTCATGTTTCTGATAGTTCCTCGTTGCATCTCGTTCGTATAATTTAACTGTTACGCGTCGTTTCGTACGAAGAATGTACTTATCAGAATTTATAGCAATATATAGAATTTATCAGGTTTTAGTTAGATGCATACAATTATTAACTCTCGTTAAACTTTATTACGGAGACATAATGCAGTTTTAATGCAGACGTACCAGAATGTCTTCCATATTTTAATGATAGCAGATTTTTCTGGCATGATCAGCTATTGCGCACATTTGCGAGTTACTTGGTAACTACTTCCCTGAACATTGTTTAATTTGCGAATCATCGTGCGACGAAACATACCGTAAATCATTATAAAGAAAACAATATTTGAGCATGATGCGTTAAAGTGCAATCACTCAAAGATTAAGTAACGAATTTATAACTAAAATGCAACTGCACATGCCGAGAACATTTATGAATATTTATGCAGAGATTAATTGAACAAAATCATCATCCGTTAAATTAAATCCTGGCACCTTTCTCTTCGACATCACAAGTTGCAATAGAATATTCTTATTCTTGTTCTTCGAATATTTATAAAAGTTGCTTGATGTAAAAGATTCCCAAATCTGCTATTGAAAACTTTTATAAGTTTACACTCCTGTGAAATAACTTTCGACACATCCTTAAGACCTTCCCTATTTGTATCTGCTATTGAATGACGAATATACTCATTATTCTTATGTAATCCAAAAGAATGTTATGGTGATGGTGCAACGTTAAGCTTGATACATTTGTCTTCTAAGACTGTGGTATTTATTTTTGTATAGAATACAAATTTACTTATATGTTGAAATAAGCAATGTGTCAGTCAACTTTATAGATAAATGATAAAGTGTTCGATCGCGATCGAAAAACGATAGTCAATAGTACCTCTTTTTGCAAATACATTTATTCCTTTCCCTACAAGTTGATTTCGTGGAGAACGCTATTATTAATATGAATAAAATTGCTAATGAAGGATTCCCATTTTAATCATTTGCTCAACGAATAATGTCTCTAGCTTGAATCGATTACGATGATACGAAAGGAGTTTCAATTATTATAATAGCCCGAACTGCGTAAGCACGATCTTTTAAAGACAATAAAATTATTTATATACGTTATTAAATTTATAATAACGCATGTCTCTATAACGCTAGTATAATGATTTAAAACATCTATAAAGTAAGTAAAGTTTGTAAAAATGGATGTATGCACATTAACGACATTTAAAGCTGACTTTTATTTTTTTTCTCAGAATGTCATTAAGTTTGACTAAAAGACAAATCCTCTTAAAAAGTAATTTATTTATAGTTGTTAAAATTGTACCATATAAGTACTCTATAGAATCTTATAAAATAACTACGATCAATACACAATTACATCTTGTTAGAATAAATAATTAGTTTCGTTACATATGTGAAACGTTGGTATCATTATTTTAATACTTACAATTCCTGATTAATAAATGCAAAAGTTTAATTATAATTTACACGTTTAATACTTCTTCATCCTCGTCAAAACTTTTTTGTATGCATAAATAATTAATATTCATTAATAAAAAAAGAATAAAATAAAATTATGATAAAGGACAATGCAGAAATGTGTAGATAATGAGCCTGACGAAGAAACTGATCAGTTCAATAAGATCAATATGATCAATTTAATTAAATTTAATTAAAAATGTATTATTGATTGTTTAAATCAATTAAAAACAGTCAATCATTGGTTGACATTAAATAATCAACAATTGGTTCACATTAAATAAAATCACGGTATAAATTGTTTAAAAGATATTTATTACATATATTTACTGTTCTTTAACTTCACGCAATCTACGTACAGCTGATCTTACTGAAGCGGCAGCCGTTGTGGAATATACCCACGCACCACCAGCAACTGTCCTCTTGCATCGTTTGCAGGACCAGATGCCTACGACGCTGCGTTTCATCGCTTCCTGTTTGAAAAATAGTATAACTTGATACATATTTTGATAATTTTTCTTACTAACTGCATTAAATTATAAAATAATGTTCATGTAAAAAACTTATAATAGAACTTTTATAACGTAGTACATACTACATTTATAATGCAGTGAGGAGAATTTATTAAACCCAAAAATAATTATCTTAATTTTAAAAAGTATCAAACATTAAAAGTGTATCTTCCCAACTTATAGTATTGATAAAACATGACAATTACTCACCTTGCCGCAAAATGAGCAAGTATACTTGCTGTGTTGGGTAATTTCCATTTTTTTGACCATTTTCCTAAGGGAGGCACCGTAACGGGTGCCATATTTGCCGGTAATTCCGACCTTCTTCGTGCGTTTTGCCTGTTAAAAGTCGAACAGTTTTAGAATCTTTGTAACTTCGGTAATATTAAAGAATAAATAATATATGATCGTTGAAAATAGAGCGAGGAACACTTCCAAAACATAACCTCGCTGTAGGGTTAGAACCCCCATAAGCGTGTAACGTTAGCATTTCATGGTGAAATATATACATAAAAAATTTCTCGAAAACAGTTATTCTTATTTGCTCATCAATATCACGTAGATTTCAGCAAGATTTAGTACGTAAGTTTCGATAAAATATCATACCATTTCGAGCAAGCGGAGTAGACTTCGGCAGAAAACCGGAAAAGAGTAACCTCGCGTAGCGCAGCGTCGTATAATGTCGGAAGTTGGCCGCAAGGAAACGCGCGCATCCAATATGGTGGCGAATTTCAAACTTGCGCGGAAAAGACTTGACGATTCTAAAGTTAGTGGAAAATATTTCCATTATCTGCGAACATTATTTTATAACGTGAATTGTATCATTGTTCTGCTGAAGAAGATACTCTGTATGTATCTCGACTACTAAAAACGTGTTAGAAGATAAACATATTACGCAGGCAACATTTATTTTTTGCATACGTGTAAGCCACTGAAGGATCTCAGCTACGTTTCGCTCATAAGTTTCAAAAAATCATCGTATTCTAATGTTTTTTTTTTTTTTTTTTTCAATTGATTGTAAATTTTCCGAGAATTATGATAACTCAGAATTAAAAAAAATATATTACAAAAAAATACGCGTTAAAAAATATATATAATTTCCAACGTAGTTTCAAAATTCCGTTGGGATTCCTGAGACCCCAGTGTAGCTTTCGAGGGTTAACAAAATATTAATTATTATGACAAGAAAAATAGTCTATCTATAAATAATACAATCTTCTCAATACATACTAAAAAGATATTCTTTAGTAGAACAAAATACGAATTGTATTTTCTAAAAGTGAAATATATACCTAATACAATTTAACAAACTTTCAACAGAACATATATGTTTTTAATTTAGCTTCCCTGGTAAAGAAAATTCTCAATATCGCATAATAATTCTAAGAATTTTTCAGAATTTACATATGCAAATAATTAATTCTAAAAAGACACACATATACATATCTTAAAAAATATATATATTGAAAAATACAGTGTAGCTTTTAAAACTAATATAAAACGACAGATTGCAATATACTCGATATATATGGAAGTAGAAGATTGAGTGATTGAGTGAGATTATGGACACATGTTTACACATATGGAGGAAAGTAGCCCTGGCTAATTCAATTTTATTCGAACCTACGTCGACCGACACGGCGGATTATCGACGAGTTACCTAACACAGGAACGTACACATAAACGTATAGCAAAAGCGCATATTTTTAAATAGTAAAAATCTCGAGTCTTCGTGTCTCGAATTCGTAATGTATACTTTTACTCGATTTCTCCAATTAAAGAGCTTCATTTATTTTTTCGAAAGCTGTCCCCGCTACCAAAATTTCAGCGGTAAAAAAAATACCTCAATCAATTTTCGCATTTCTTTTTAGCAAATCAAATCAATCAACAATGCCAAGTTACAAAATTCGATCGCTAGTCAAAGAATTCGCGGTCCGCGTAGCACTCGATGCATCCAAACAAACGTCATCGCTCGTGTATTTTTTTTTACAAATTTCCAAAAATACGCGTCGATTACGTAACGTACGTCATCGTAACGCGTTGTCGCGTTACATAATCGCGGAAGCGGCCGAACGGGAAGATTCAATAAACATTGCGGAGCGCAAAATTATTTTTCCCGACACGGGCGTATATTTTTCTTCCTTACGCCGCTCGCGGAGGAAGCGCAGCAGGGGAGGGGGAATCGCTCATTCCATCTTCCATGTTCCATCCCTGGGGTAGGGAGAAGAGGAACCGGCCCGGTATGACGTAGGCCAGGCCACACCAGGACCAGGCCACACGTATAGCAGCCCGGAGTCCGGAGTAGAGTTAGAGTTAGAGGCCGGCTCCGCTTTCCTCGTCCGTTCGGAGATCCGATCGGTGCGTCACGGTCACGCGTGTGTCATCAGCGTGCGAGTCTGCGAGTGCAAGCGGCTAATAAGTAGCGGAATCATTGCCGCGCCGCGCCGTCGCGAGCGACCGGTTGGTTTGGTGGTCGGCTGTCCGCCCCCCGCGTTCGTTCCCGCACGTCGTCGTCGTCCGTCCGGCGGTCCGGCCTGTCCGGCGCGCCGCCTAATCGGAGCGGAGCGGAGCGGAGTGGAGCGGTGAGCGTGGCGTAGCGCAGCGCGACGCAGTGCAGCGAGGGGAACGGCGCGCGTCGTCGAGTCTAGGAGCACAGCCGGTGGTGGTTCGTCCAGCCAGCACGATGGTCGTCAAGATCTACGTATCGGGTATCAGCGGTAACAAGGAAGTGAGTGCTCCAGCGGCTCTTTCGGGCTCCGGTGTCGCGTCACGCGACACTCGATCACGGCGCCTGGTCTGACACCGCGCGCGCCAGGCAGTCGTCGTCACCACGATTGTTGCCGTCGTCGTCGTCGTCGTCGTCGTCGCCGCTGTATCAGGTTACAATGCGAACGGCACCGCACATTAGCGGCCCTAATGATCGGGCACTGTCATCCGCGATATAATGCGCTTGTATCGGTTCCGCTTGCTCGCTCTCCTCGACGATGGACGTACGGTGGTGTCACGCCAGTTGTCCAGCTGTTTATCACGGGTCTCGCCCGCGGCTGTTTATCTGGCTCGATCAGGAGCGTCGGTTGTCGAATTTGTCACGTATATTTAGCTTGATAGCGACTAGTTCCGTTACCGATAAGGCAAACTTGTTCTGTCGTCTGTTAAACATAATGCAAATATTTATAGTATCATGTTGTTACTGTAGCAATTATTGCCGTTGATATTTTGCAGCAATCAATAAATATTGTTAAGTAAATTTTATTATTATTATTATGAAAATAATAAAAAATACTAGACGGTTGCAATCAGCAATCTCTGCCGTACATGAGTTTTTCCGTCAGATGCTGTATGCAACTCTGACTCTAATGGAAATTGAGCTAAGCTTTGTAACATATAAACATTACGAATATTATAAAGTTGACATTATAATTTTAACGTTGTAAAATAAAATATTAAGTTCTACTTTCTTTAATATTTGCTACTTATAGGTAGATTATAACAAATTCAAGTAACACGCACATTATAAATTAAAAGATTTCGAAAAGTTTTAACTATATGTAAATATGTTACAGGTGAAGAAAAGACAGCAACGCGTGATGATGATTCTAGATAGTAAAAATGTGGAATATGAGATCATCGATATAACGGAGCCAGGCAAGGAATTGGAGAAAGAATTCATGCAAGCTAACAGTAATGCTAGAAACAACAAGTATCCATTGCCACCACAGATATTTAACGAGGATGATTATTGCGGTGTAATTATCTTTTTTTTGTGCTGTTGACATTTCTATTATTCTTAACAGATACCAAGTGTAATTTTTAAAATATATTGTACACGTGCAACAACCATTAAAAAATAACTGTTTAAAATCTTACTTTTTATAAACGATAAACAAGCGGTTAAATTTGCAGGATTATGAAGATTTTGATTTAGCAAACGAAATGGACGAATTGGAAAAGTTTCTAAAAGTGACGCCGGCAGTGAGTACCGCAGAAATCACTCTCGATTCGAAGTCTCAGAGTGATGGAATTCAAGAGAATGGGAATACTTCAAGTCGAGAGGTAATGCTGTTCTTTTGTTCGGAACTGAAACTTAAAAAGAGCTTTGTCTTAGCTTGCTTTTAAATTATATAGATATACCCGGCTTCTTTATGAGAAAGAATTCCGACGTGCCAAAATAGAAATGACAATTACTACAATCATGCCTATTGTGTGTCACATGTACGACACATGACAAATTATTTTTATATTTACTTGTTTATATATCTTTGAAAAAGAGCCAACATTATACGACGATATAAATTGACAACTACATTTTGTTATTTTATAACGAACATTAGTTATATGTAGGCTGCATTCCGATATTCACTGTCAGTACTGCAAATCTATATTTTACGTCACGTATACTATAGATTTTCAGTACTGAAAGTTGCTGACAGTGAATATCGGAATACAGCCTTAAAATTATTTTAATTTTTACCTATTTTTATTTACTAACTTAATGACTTTGCTACTAAATTTATATTAGTAGTTTGTACACATTTAATATTTGCAATCTGTTCCTTTTAGCCCTCCGCGGACAAAGAAGCAGATATATTACTTTCGGACAGGTAAATGATATATTATAATAATAAACGGATTAATGGATTCTATGGAAACATATTAAAAACACATATAAACTATACTGCGATTAAAAATATTGAATAATTAATTTATAATTATCTGTTCTAGTTTACCAGAAAGGACAACTCTAGAAAGTGAGACTAAAGCGTTAGACGACTCTAAACCAACCGAAGTAGATAGCGCGGCAAAAGTAGTCGCTAGCGACGAAGGTGAACACGCTGAAGATAGTGGCGATAAAAATGAAGAAAAGTCCGATGACCAGGAGAAAGAGGAATAGATACCGAGATATACCCATGTAAAGTTGGGCTATTCCACACAATGACATCCTTCCTTTTCCACCCACAAACGTATTTTGCAAAGCTACGTTTATTACATTACTAAGGCTGAATGAAGGTACTGCCAAGATAATATTCTGCATTGCAGAAAGTCTGTTGAATGATCAGTATAAATGACGCATGGAACATTCTTTTATAGAATATACTTTGTATTTTTAGATCAAACGCGTCTTCACCAATGTTTTGCCACAGGTCTGATTAGGTGATATGAGACAATTCCTTCATATCGCTATCTTTATATATACATCCTCACGTTTGTTTATTATTTTTGCATTGTTTCGCACCGCACCATACCCGATACATCGTAGCATATCCAATAATCGAACTGAAGTATATATTTTTCTTTTACATGTGCAACTTTCTCGTTATTTTGTTGCCGCGTGCAAAACGTACAAAAATAAATATAGGATATAGCAACATATACATATACACAATATCATTTGAGATATATGAGGACAGATATATAGATAAATACATACTATAATAACATTTTTTAATTTTTAGATATAATTATTGATTTGTTACACCCGTGAGAAAAAAATTTTTATATTTATATTATACTTTTTTTTAATCGAACACAACAGTATTAAAGATAGGTTTGGCTTGTTAGAAAAATTTGTATTTGGACATTTCTTGCGTTAAGATAATCAAAACAGTCTTTCCAAGTAGGCTTTAAGAAGTCGTTGATTTCTTGAGCTTATATATTAAATATGTTAGAAGTAGTTATTATAGAAAGAACAGAACAAAAGAAGATTTCTAGATTTTTATAACTGAATTATATGAATATCTTTTCTATAATATAAGCTTCCATTTTCTAAGCATGACAAAATTATGCTGGTGTAAATGACTCATACTGGCGTGACATGATTTCATTGATATGTGTGTATATGACTCATGCTTATTCAATAGTCTATTCGATCATTAGAATCTTTGTGTCTAAAACGAACGATTAAGTTCTCTAAAAAAAGTTCTATTTTTTAAAACGGAAAAACTGGTTTACCATGCTTGTAAATTATATTGTAATGATATAAAAGTTTAAAGCAAAAGTGAGAGAATTTCTTACAACTGCTACTATTGAAACAACACAATCAATTTAACATATATCATACAAAAAATTTTTCATGTCTGGCATAAAATGATAATGTACAATGAATTTAAAAAAAGAATACTGTATACAAATCTTATGTTATTCAAACTGGTTATGCTCTAAATAGCTATGCGTGATAATAGCGGCAGTTGTACCGATCACAAAAGGCCTATATAAATTGTTTCTCTTATTATTTTTAGTCATGACATTTTCTTCCTATGCTCAGCAAGATTAATATCTTGCATAAATCTTTTATTGCTTATCTATATCAAGCAATACTTCCATCATAAAAAAATTAAGCTTTATCCAGTATTTGCTACAAGTTGCTTTGTTAAAAAAATAAATAAATGAAATAAAACATTATTTTTGCTATTATAATTCTATTCTTCAACATGATACATCTATTATTAATATCGCACATGATACTACATATAATTTACTGCTATAATCAAAGAGAGCAATGGCAAAGTTTTATTCATGTTGATATGTCTTTCTCATTACAAAGATGAGGGGGAGGGGGCAGTAACAATAAAGATTGAATATTAATGTTAAAATAAATTTTAACATATATTAAAGATATATAATCATTAGAGATATAACCATATTTACAAAAATAATATTCATTACACATACACACACACTCACACACATGTGTATATATACTAATATGTATATATACATATATATACATATATGGCTCAACAGCAATCATTGTTACATGCATACAAGAATTTATTAATAAATACAATGATTCAAGTTTAAGATTCCGTTTATATATCCTTGAAATTTACTAATATATTTGACCAAATAATAACTATTATATGATCTATAACAATATATGTTTTGAGGAATTGAATAACTTTGTCTTCTGTTATTAAATAAGGTAAGTATATATGTATATACGTAGATACGATACTCAAATATATATATAGATATAACTTTATAACAAATCTGTAGTAGGGTATATGCTGATGTCTTTGAAAAGCGATATAAAAACTAGCTATGTGCATAATATATACTTCTTGGTATACAATATCTAAAAATATTCTTTATCCTTTCTCAGGTTAAAAATAATCTGATTGATTTACCTAAGTTTTTATAACATCCTTCATATTCTTAATAAATTGAATTTACTATTTGATCAGTTCAATATCTAATGATACTACATCCTCAATTATCTTTCTCTTGTATATTTGGTGTCTCCACTACAACACGAGTACAGCCTGAAACCAATAATTATCAATGTTTTTATAATAATTTGAAATAAGTATATATAAAAGTATTTATTTATATATAAAAAAATCTATAAAGAAAACTTCGAAATAATATTTGTGAAAAATCTTTAAACTGCGTTTTTGTCAACAGTAAAATATATAAAATATCATTCTCATTGTATATTTATATTCTCTTCTCAGTAACATTAATTATATAACGAAATTCTAATCAACAAAAACGAAATATACAGGATATTTCAGTCTAAAAGATCGTTTATACAAATATTAAAAATAAATCTGGTTGTCTTTTAGTGAAAAATTTCACTACCACTAATAAAAATGAACAAATTTTCTAATCACGATTGGAAAGATTAGAGAAGAACGTGCAAATAAATTTAACAAATTACAAAATTAGTGTTTATTGGTTAATTATATTAATAGAGAATCATTAATATAATAAGTAATTGTGTGCTGTATAATGATCTATGTTCTATTACGATAATAATAATATTTAATTCCTCTAAATATAGATTAAAATATAAAAAAAATACACAAAAATAAAAAGTAGTCCAGTTTCAAAGTTATATTTATTTTTCTAATGTTATTTGTCGTGTTATTCAATTAATAATTATTGTGCACATATATCTATATTTATCAATATTACGCATACAACGCATTAAACAAACTTGTTGCTGATGCGAAAAATGTTAAACAATTATCAACGTAAATAAATCTATGAACAATCATATGTATATAAACATCATGTCCAATAACAGGAATTTACATCACATAAAAATTGTTGGTCTTACTGATATTGTTGTAATTATTGAATGCAGCTTTTTCATAGGCACGTTATAAGGCAAATATTTTAATAAAAATGCCGTAGACAATGTAAATTTAAGAACAAGTTTAAGGGACTTTATACTAAATCTCTATATTTTCGTTAAGATGTTGGGTTTAAAATTTTATACTAATATATAGTTTAATAGTTCTAATAGTTTAAACAAATACATAATAATTACCTAAAAAATTGCAGAAAATATTGTTTTCGAATTTCTATTTGAAACTTGCTACATGTAAAAGCTGCATAGCTCATTTAATGAGCATGTAATTAAACATATCTTTACTGATATAAAAAATTTATAGGGTTGTATATGATGCTCCTTTCTAGTTTTCAATTATTGAACGTGAATTGTATTTTTTGTTTCTATATACTGAGTGTATATGTTATACATAAAATAGTTCCCAATATACATATCCCTGTTATACATATATCATTCTTTGTTCTTAACTGACATTAACGGACAGCTGGGAAGGACTACCTCTTTGAGTAAATCAGTATATTTTATGCTATTAAGTAGGTAAATAAATTACGCGGTGCGTTATAACATTTAATTCTCTTTATATTAAACAAAAAATGTTATATATCTTGTTATTCTTTGTAAAACTATTGTAAACAAAGTTTGTACCCAGTCCGACTAAAACGTGTTAAGAAATATATAATACGTATAATAATACGTATTGTATAATTATATCAATACATATTGTATACAAATACATATTCCGTTACAATTACGTATAAAATGCAACAATCAAGGATAAATTAAATTTACCAGATCTTCAAAAAATGTAAGAGTCTTGGATTATATAATATATATATGCCCCTTCATTGTGTATCGCTTTTTTATGTAATTTTGAATATATGCATAAATATAATCATGAAATCATTGCAATGCAATGTATGTTCAAGACTATTATACATTCTAATAAAACAAATTATGCTCATTAGACATTTGTATTATGCACATTTTTCACATATCTGTAAGCTATATGTAGCAAAAATAATTATGTGTGTATAATATACTATTTTAAGATATCATATAACATATAATGAGGTATTCTTTTTCTTCGACAATGCTTAAATCAAATGGTGAAATAACTTTTGATGTTATTTCAACTAAACTATGTATTGTGTAAAAAGAATACTCGATTATGCATATACTGTTAAGAATGGTACAAAACTATGCTTTGTGTGTGGTACGTGACTCAAAATTCAACAATGTATATTAATCTTATTTCACAGGAAATTTATATGCTCCAAGATAATCGCATACATCTGTAGCATAATGATAGTCATATACTATATCTGAATAAAAAAAAATAAAAACATGCTTTAACTAAATAAAAAATATTTTGTAATTTTTTTTTAATTAACACATGCTATAGTTATTTATAACTTCTCTTGTTTATGTACAAACATATTGTACACATATCATATTCATGTGTACATAGAAAACCTGACATTACTAAACTTTAGTAAACTTAGAAATGTATAATGTCAGTTAAGATCTTTATCCTTTTAAGTTCACTGAAAATATCTTTCTTACGAAATAAGAAAATAAAATAATTTTGAAAACATATGTTTGTAATGTCAAGCTCTTAATTATTTATCTATCAAATTGTCTGTTTTTCTCTGGGACGGTGATCCTATAAATCTGTATTTAAAAGATGTGTGTGTATATATATGTATACATGCTATACCCGAACTGGTAAGTATTATCGCATATAACACTTAACTTATCTTAATGCGAGATATTTTATATGCAAATACTTGACATTAAGTATAGCACATGTAAAATTAATAATGCAGTACCTATTATGAACATAAGAGAATTAGAAAAATGTGAAATAAAACTTTTATCTTATCTAATTTTAAAAAACTGTTAAAAGAGATGTCATTGTAAAAATATCAATTATTTCGGTATTCGGTCAATTTTAAGTACATTTGAAACACAAATGTATTACTTACAGTCTTATTATACATAGAGAAAATCAAGAGAATGCTTACAGCTAGTAGATTTATATTTTAAAAATTTATAATTCAAAGTTAAAACAAAATTTGATTATCTACATTATACTTTCCAGTATATTTCTATAAAACAAATGCTTTTGTGATATTTTTATAAAATTGTCAAAGCTGTTTATCAAAAAGAATATGCACTATTAGTATATAATTAATCTTAGGTAAATCTATTCTCAATTGTAATATCCAAAATAACAAAATATTTAATTTTCTTATACAAAATGGGTAAATAAAGCATTACTTACAATGTCATATTTAAATATTTGAAATATTAAATTGAAATATATTAAGTTAAATATGTATTTTAAAAAAATATTGAAATAATTACTTAAAAAACTAAAATTCATAGAGAATGTGAGAACATCTGTTGAAAACATCCGACATTGTATGTACATATAGTTTTTTCACTGTTATAGATTACTATTAAAAGTCATAATAATTTTAATTATTAATTAGCTTTGACAGGATATTTATTTTTAGCATATAATCACTCAATTGATTTTCTCGTTTTATTATGCACTATATTTGTCTCTTAGCAAATTATGCAGTAGTGAAATATAATTAATCCGTACCAAAGTATTTTTGTCCAAAATGATTTGGCGCAACAGTATGGATCTCAGACGTTAAGATCTTCATCTGTAAAAAATCAAATTTTACTTAAAAAAAAAAAACGAAATATTATAAATTATCATATATCTTAATATTAATATTAACTCATATAAATGCAAACAAATATCAATAACAGAAATCACCTTAGGAAAGGCAGTGACTAGAGATTTGGCTGCAATTGGTGTACAAAACAAATTTGACAGAATGATATTTTCTTCGAGCACATTATGTTCTTTTAGCACAGCTATGGCTTTTATAACGGTATTTCCTGTACCTATATGTGCAGTAAATATAAGACATATTATGATCTTCTTTCAACTCAGTGCCAAACATACTCTCAATTGTTAGAATATTTTTCAATACTCACTCATTATTGGATACATCAATAAGACCTTTCTCTCTGATATATCGTCTGGGAATTTAGCATAAACTACTCTAGCTTCATGCGTGTCAATGTCACTCTCTACCAATATCTTACCAATTCTGATACTACGGCAACAATCCCTTAGACCCTATAAAAGTATTATTTCGTAAGTTAGCAACTAGTTCGTACAAAGATCTTGGTACGCTTAGGATTAATTAAGATTGTACCTGTTCCATAGCTTCTCCACTTCTTACTATAGATACGCCACAATTTCCCTTCTGATATTTTAAACCTTTGTATTTGGCACCGGTTGGAGTTGTCACCACACATTTCGTAAACGGCAATTGGTTCAAACTCTCTTCAATAACTAGTCTGATCTAAAACAATTCAAATAAAATCGTAATGGCTTCCTTTCTTCATATAATCAGCAAAAATCAGAAAGCAGCCTTCTAACAATCATACTATACATCTTTTAATGTCTATTGTATAGATAATTAGTCAACTATATAAAGTTTAGAGAAAGCTTTTAGCATAATATGTCACAATGTATGTATATGTATGCTATAATAATTTGGATTGGTTTAAATTACAACACAATTCAAACAGTGTGTCTGTTTTCTATTGCTTTCACTAGTTCAGAGTTTATCTTGAATCGTTTATCAAGAACTGTACATACATTGTGGGTCAGTTTTCTATTGTCAAACTGGCTTCGCTAGTTCAGAGTTTATCTCCACAATGGAAAGAGCAGAACAGAAACAGATCCTAAAGGATGAATCTCGTATCTATATACGTATATTTCTCACACTTCAATGTATATGATCACTTCTTGAATTAGTACAGCCAGTGCAGCAATAGAAAACAGATCCGGTATTTGCTTTTAATATTGTAAAAGATACAAGATTAAACATATCTTACCAAACGGTCAGCATAGAACTTGAAATCACTTCTCGTGGTATTCCTATAAAATAAAGCCTATCAACGAGTAGCTCATAGATATTTTTAATAATCAATCTATACAAAAATTTAGCATTTTATATATCTAAATGGATCATATATTATATTGTTGGAAAAGTTCTAGCTGCCTTAGGAACACACCGAGCACTTTTATTTTGTATAGAACCAAAAATTGATTATTTCAAAAAGTAGACACCATCCACAGGCAACATATACTCCCTTTATATGTTCCTACAGCAGAAATTTCACGAATGCTCCAGTGAACAGATTTTTTGCCAAATCTTGAAACAGCCAGAACTTCCCCAGCAACCCAATATATACATGAGTATATAAATAAATTAATGATTGTGTAGTAATGAGTATATAAAAAAACCAATGATTGAATAAATCTTTCGCATCAAGAACAGCTCTTATTTAGCCCTGTTTCGATTAAATTAATTTAATTTAATAAATATTCACAATTTTTTCATTGTCATAGGAAGTATAGAGATAGAAAGAAAATTAAATAGACAATTTATCTATTTATTTCAAGATAAAGTATATTTACTTATAACTACAAACAATAATTTTCAACGCAAAGAACAATACTCACTTATCCCGTAAAATGGTTTGCAACTCTTTCACCTGGTTGTTGCAGGGTAGAATCTTTAGGTTAGTCCCGTACTCGTCGATCTCATGGTTATCGTTCAGCAATTTTGCCGTAGTATCCGTGCTTCCCATGATGAATACACCACCACGTGTCACCGACGGTACCGACAAAACAATTGTGAACAGCGACGGACAAGTTAAGATTAGCCCGGGTTATTTCACCATCGTTTGCAAGTCGTCGGCGTGTGATTGCAAGCGTGTGAAGTCTGAATGGTCTGAAGTGAGCAGCAGCAGCAAACGAGCCGAATAAACCAAATGGAGCCGAAACGAATTAAATGAATTTTGGAACGCGCATTGAGAATGAGAGCAGTGAGAGGGCAGAGGGCCAAAGCACATTTGACAGGTAGTCGTGGACGTAAGTAATAAAGCCCCGGACACACACTTTTTCGTAACAGTAACAGTAAAGTTTCGACCAATCGCGTTGCTCGATTCGGGAATGTACGGCCGTACGTTCCCGATTCAAGCAACGCAATTGGTCGAAACTTTACTGTTACTGTTACGAAAAAGTGTGTGTCCGCCTTGCATACAACTCTGTGACTCCATTTACTAAAATAAAGAAAATTTTCCTTTTTATTAGTATACAAATACGTGTATTCACTGAGAAAAAAATATACTAATAAAAAGGAAAATTTTCTTTATTTTAATAAATGGAGTCACAGTTGTATGCAAACTAATATTTACTAAAATCCAGAACATTTTTTTCTCAGTGTAGCGGAAGTAAATAAAGTTCGTTTTACGCAGTGTACCGAATTTGATTATGTAAATATAAAAAATAACTATATAATTATTTTAAACACTTAATCTTCCCGTTTACGTTTAATCTTACTTTTATATTTCATCTTTTTTTAATTATTGTGATTAGTTTGTCCTTATATGATCACTCCGATACTTCGAGAATTGCCACAGTACGTTTTTCTTTAAGTAGTTTTTGAACTGATTAGTTACAGAACGCGCGTCGCGATCACAGGGTCGTATTTAATCCATATTTCCTGCAAGTCTTCCTCTTCCTACGAAAAGTATATCGTGCATGAGAGATTAATCATCGTCAAGTATGCACGTTGCTTCGCAAATTAACATCATATCAATAAGAATTTTTTGAACAGTTCAAGCCTTTTGAGCGTTTCTAATATTTATTTAAATGTTTCAAACGTCGTTTCTACGTTCGACGACTTACCGCGTGAACACAGTAGCGTGAATTGGCGCTATAATACATCGATAGCGTTAGCGTTTCGAGAATCGCAACCAACGCTCTTCGATAGATTCGTAACGGCGGCAACGGCGCAGGCGCAACCGCGACCGGCGCGATAGGGATGGGCGATACAGCCTGAAAGTATCGATACATCGTATCGATATGTATCATAAATGAAAGTATCGATACACAAAAAATATCGAATGTCTCGTATCGATATCATCAATATCGAAACATACATAATTAGATATTAGATTAGTTCGCCGTTTGCAAAAATTTTTGGCATCCAATTTCTTACTTCTGACGTAAAATAAAGTATAAAATGAGAGGTATTTTGCGGCATAAAAGTTACAACGCGAGTACACAAGAACACCTTAAGTACAATTTTTTATTTATAAAATAAATGTTTTTGTTTATATATTAAAATGTGTACTTATAATTATATCACATTAGCACTTATAATTATTGTAATTATGATTACATACATTAAACAGAAAAATAATTACTTATTTTTGCATGTGAGTGTAATAACAGTAATATCACATATGAAATCTGCTTAGAAAGAAATGAAAATGGAACTTATAAACTATAATAGCAAATGCAATACTTTGATCATTAAATTAACGCAAATTTACCTCATCTGTATGTATACACTTACGAGACATTTTATTCTTAATTGTAAGCAAATTGTAAGAAAATTAGAAAAGAAACATTAGTAGAAACTTAATATATAGAATGTATAAAAAATAAGTCCACTGAAGTGTGTAATTACTGCAAACAGAAAAATAATTTTACTTATTTTTGCACGTGAGTGTAAAAATTCACTTCTATAATACGTCACAAACGCCTCGTCACCAGTCGCGAAGGATGGCAGGAGCGTTTGTGATGTATTGCAGAATTGATAATTTATAAATGCCAATCGCCAAGATCGAGGGAATGTAAAAATAATAATTGATTAAGGTGATCACCTGTCAACCTGTTCCTATCTTCGGACATTATTTTACCTGCTTCAGAAAATAACCTTTCGGAAGGAACTGAAGTGGCAATTAGTGATAAATATTTAATTGCTAAGGTTCTTAGAGGCGAATCTCGGGCCATATTCCAATATTTTATGGCATTATCACTCATTTTTAACGGTGGTTGATTCAGATAGTAACGAAAGTCCTCTGGCATTTGGTTAGGATCTTGATTAACTATCTGTTTAGATATATTTAAATTTACAAGATTTTCATGATAGGACCAAAAATTTGTTTTATCATTATTATCTGAATTTTCTTGTTGACTTTGAAATTCATGGTTAATATCTGTAACCTTAGAATTTACAAACCTTGTAATTTTATTAATAGCATGTGAGCAAGCAACTTTATCGCTAAAATTAATATTTTTAAATCGAGGATCTAAAATTGTAGCCATAGCTAACGATGATACGTGTTCAATAGTTTCAAATCTTTTGCTTAACTGATCTTTTAACGCCTTTTTAAAGTGATGACCTATATCAGTAGAAGGTTCAAACGCCTGTAATGTATTCTTTAAAATATTGACAACTGGAATTACTTTACTCGCAGTAAGATAATACTCGCCGCATATGATTTTTGTTGCCTCTTCAAATGGTTTTAGCAACTCAACAAATTCTTTAGTCGATTGTAACTCCGAAGCAGTTAGCATCGGAGGAGCCGTAGGACATTGCAAAATAATGACACTAATTTTTTCGGACAATTGTATAAATCTTTGTAGCATATTATACGTGGAATTCCACCGTGTTTCAACACTTTGGATTAACTTTAAGTTCGAATGAATACGTAATTGATCTGCAGCAATAACTGATTTTTTAAAATAGGTGACAATATTTTTTATTTTTGCGCAGAAACCTTTTACGATATTATCGTCATCAATAATTCTCGCCAAAACTAAGTTCAAGGTATGCGCAAAGCATGGCAAATGCTTGTCTGCACCGAAGGCATCAACAATAGCCTTTTTTATGTTAGCAGCATTATCTGACACAACGGCTACAATATTTTGACTTTGTATATTCCATGTATCTATTAAATTTAATAGCCAATTTTTCAAATACTCGGACTGGTGTCTTTCAGTCATCTCAACAACGCCAATTGTGACAGATCTATGTTGCTCTTCTACTAAGAAGTGTGCCGTTAAGCCCAGAAAACTTTTCATATTTAATGATTCAGTCCAAATATCAGTAGTTAAAGATAAATAATTTACTTGTGAAAGTTTTGCTTTCATCATATTTGATAAGACCTCGTATTTCTCTTCCACGAGATGAGTTATGGTCCTCCTACTAGGAACCGTGTATAATGGCAATATTGCATTCATGAAGGTTTTGAAACCCTCCTTTTCAACCACACGAAATGGTAAGTTGTCCTTAGCAATCATAAACAGCAATTTGTTTGTCACGTCGGCAGCTTTGGATCCTCCATCTAAAAAATTAAAAATATCATAACAATTTTTTAAATATACTTACATTAGTAATGAATAAGTTATTTAAAACTCAATTAAATAATTACAACTTCTCCATACCTTGATATGATTTTTGTTTTGCAAATGCTGAGTCAATTCGAGGTTGTTTGGAGGAAACAATTGGATTTCGTAAAACTGATACCGATCGCGTTTCTGTTTCTGATGATATAGACGTAGACGGTCCCGGAGATGAGATTGGGTCATCAAGGTCAATGATATCTTCGTTGTCTACTTCGGACTAAAATTCAAAGCATACATCAATTAAGGGCGAATAAAAATAAAAAAAAATATAAATATTGTGTTATGTAATAATATAAATAACAAATATTACTATTTGTCTTTTTGTCTTGACGAATACTGTAGATTTCTCCATCTGAACATCAGGATGACATCGATTCATATGGAAATGTAAATTAGTTGTATTTCCAGATGTTTTTACATTTAACTGGCAGATTTTGCATTTAGCAACTGTATCACTTTTTACAAAATAATTCCAAATAGGATTTTTTGGCGGCACTATAAAGAAAAAGAAATAGGATGATTATTATTTAATAATTAATAAAAAAATGAAAGAAATAAGGAAATAGAATAAAATAAAGGAAAACTTGCACGCCTACTTTTAGTACTTTTATAGAAAGTAAGTGCGTTAGTGCGCCGTTAGAAGTTAGAAGTTAGGAAATGGGAACGTGGAATGTGCTCTTTCACCTTAGGACTTTTCTTAGATTTAACTCTGTAAATATTACAAATAAGGAAATTATACATTCAACTCTATAAAACAGATCATAAGAAATCTGAGTGCGTTTTCCAGCAAGTGATATAAGTCGACTCAAATGTCGTTCTATCTTTGTTATTTATTGAATGCTAAGTAAAGAAAGATAGAACGACGTTTGTAATGACTTCAATGACTTGTGTCGCTTGCTAAAAAGTGAACTAAAAGAAATATATAATAATTATTTTTTATCCTTACCTCGATTGTAACTGCAGTCTCTTGTAAGAGAGTTACTGTTACAGTACGTACCTACGTACTTGAACCTTGAACTAGCTGTACAGAATTCTGCTCTTCACTTTACTGGATACGGACACTCTAAGTCTAGTCTAGACTAATACAAATAAGAAAATTATCCATTCAACTCTATAAAACGGATCAGTAAAGGTGCTTTTTCATGCTGACTGACGCTCGATTTGAGCGTCAAAATTGATCACGTGATAGGTCACGTGATCAGTTTTAACGCTCAAATCAAGCGTCGAGTGTCAGCATAAAAAAGCCTTTTAATAAATAATAAAATCTGAGTGCGTTCTCCAGCAAGTGATACAACTCAAATGTCGTTCTATCTTTGTTATTTATTGAATGCTAAGTAAAAAAAGATAGAACGACATTTGTGACAACTTCAATGACTTGTGTCGCTTGCTGGAAAGTGAACTAGATAAAAGAAATATATACCTAGCTTTACAGCAAACGACACAAGTCGACACAAGTATCGTTTTATCTTTGTTACTTATTACCAAAAAAGAAAGATAAAACGATGCTTGTGTCGATTTGTGTCGTTTGCTGGAAAGCTCCCATAATAATTATTTTTTATCCTTACCTTGATTGTAACTGCAGTCTCTTGTAAGAGAGTTACTGTTACAGTACGTACACTACGTACCTACGTACTTGAAGTACTTCAACCTTGAACTAGCTCTACAGACTTCTGTTCTTCACTTCATTGGACACTCTAGACACTGAGATAACGTAACGGCAACGGCCATAAAAAAACAAAGGATAGTCAAGGGCCGGCCCACGGGCGCCACCGCCAACCGCCACGGACGGTCGACATAGGTCTACCAAAGTTCGATATTCAAGGGTCAAGTATCGATACGTGGAAATATCGAGCGATAAAGTATCGATACAAATAGGGGATAATTGGGCACTGAAGTATCGATATTTGAAATATCGATACTGTATCGCCCATCCCTACGGCGCGACCACTGACCAGTCACGGAGCGCGCGGCCACGATCGCGCGATGTCGCGTTCAAACCGCTCCGTAGTCCTGTGCTTTCCCGCGATCCGTCACCGTTCGAAGTAATCTCGCGTCCGAAAAATTGTCGCGAGTGCGTCTCGTAGAACGTCGGGCGTTCGTCGTAGCGTATCGGATATCACGCGTGTGAAATTGTGATCCATTGTCACAAGTTCGACGTTCGACATTTCGGCAGCCCCCTTCCGTGCGCCCGGAGTTGTGGATCGACACCTCGCGTCTTTCCCGGACAGATTCATCGAGATGTATCAATCGTCGCCTGGTATGTACATACACGTACTCGCTTTGCAATTATAGTCACGCTGATCGCGATCGAAGGATCGCGATCAATGCGCCGCTTGAGCCATTTTGATACTTTGAGATCTCCGCGGCGGCGGATCTCGACAGTCGACGGTACGAATTCGAGCAGCTCCACCAACATCTCGCGATTGTTTTGCCGTCACGAAAATAAATCTGACACGCATAAAATACCATACGCTCGCGTTTTAACGTATTTTATAACGTATAAATGTTATGTAGAATCGTTGTTAGGTACATCCGATATCGACGAGTCGCGGAGCGCAAGATCGGAATCCTCCTCGCGAATCCTCACGCCATTTTATGCGCCGAAATGCAACGAACCTGGCACCATTAGCTAAATTTTTGAAGGACTTAAATAAATAAATATATAAATAAAAAATAAAGAGTACAATTTAAAGTTTAAGTTTGTTAAGGTTGTCAAATTACACATGTAAACATTAATTTACTCGACGAAATTATTATACATATACATATTTGCGTATATGTTGAGAGGACGCGTTCCCCTCGCCCACCTAATAACGGCGCTCGTGCAACGAAGGCGGACAGTTAACTTGAATATTATTTTCGATAATATATTTTTACATGATATTTTCATGTCGCCATATTGATATAATTTTATATCCGGCTTCATGAACAGCATAATAGATTCGTATGAAATTAATTAAAATAAAAAGAAAGTTATATATACTGATAAGGGGATGAAATTCTCGACGTCGAGAACGATTCGAGCGAATGAGCATAAATGTATCATTTTATAAAAAGTTTTTCTTTTATTTCGTACTGATAATTCGTGTCATATGTATAAAACTACTCTCTAATTGTGTCTGCGTGAACAGCTATTCTCTCCTAAGTCGGGAACGAAATATTCTCAGCAGTAACATACATCGGGTGCTTCCTGTCTTTTTTTTTTCTTTCTTTTCTTCTCTTGCGCGGTCTCAACTAGGTCAGTAGCATCTAAAATCGTTAATGCCGAACGTGCATTCGCGTAATTGAGATCATCGTCTAGCGTATGATAATTAATATTTACGTACAAACGCTCGGCCGCGGAGATTTTTACAATATCGAGGTAAAAAATATGCAATTTTCAGGACTGCTGAGCTAGTTGATACTGAGTGGATAAAACTCTGTCGGTATTTTTTCTCTATAAAATTTTTCTCTTGCTGTATTTAATTATACATGCATATATATATACATTTATATTATATATAACATGTATATATACACACATATATATTTATATATCAATAAGAAATACTATACGTGTTGAGTATCCATAATATTATCCCTAGGATACGATCTGATTAATATTACACTGCTGTTTGGCCCTTATGTCCTTACCCTCGTTATACTTACAAACTTCTCTCTTACACACAACTGTATGTATATATTCATTCATATATATATATTTATATTTATATATTTATATAATGTATATAAATATATAAATCCAAATATAAACATATATTTATATTCATATAATTTATATAATATAAATGTATAAATCCGAATATAAATATATATTTATATCTATCTAATTGCCATTGTGTGCAGTCTGTCGTATTTAAGCTCTTCGTACAATATCATACAATCCGATTCTACACAGCTTCCTCCGAATATTGTCATGATTGGCAAAAAGACTTTTTTTTGTCAAATCTTTATAATGTGTTACAATACGAACGCGAGCATATCGTAATTCGCGACGATATCGTATCATACTACTGGAAACGGAAGACTGTATCAATTGAGTACATAGCTCTCTGCTTTTGACGATTTAAAAAGAGGACGAGAGAACTGAATTGCGTCAGTTAAGAGAATGTCTCTACAGCTAGCTCTTCTCTCGCACAAGAAAAATTAAGCAAATTCCTTAACCCGCGTGTCGTACACACGCACACACACACATACGCACGTACAAATAAAGACAATTATCACTGAGCTACAGCAGAAGTATCTCATTCAAGTATGTAGAAATAGCTTTTATCAAACATAAACATAGAATAGTCATTTTTTAACAGGCAAATATTTATCTTCTTGTAATTCTACTTTCATATTATTTCGCTTAAGTCGACTTTTATATGCTTTATTACAGGTATACTATCATACTCGCATGCTTCCCCTCATTTTCTCTTTTTCGCTCTTTTTTTTATCTCCCACTCCCACTTTTTTACGCGTTCTGCACACACACACTCGTCACAACAAAATATGATTCTTTCTCTTTATATTTACAGCGTTACTTTCGTTGCATTTTTTAAAGTATAATCAAATTAAGCATCCGATTTGAAGTATTTTAATACAAATTCAATATTCATTCAATACCACTCGAAGAATCGTTCAAAATACTGGCTAATATTTTCTGATACGTTATCACTATTATTGTGCATGATGAGATGTACGGATTATTATCAAGGGCTTCAATGTTATACAAATGTTTACAATGAACTTTGAAGAAGGAAATCATTCATAATTACGCGAATGATATGTGTGCGCATATACATTGAGAGGATGATAAGTTATTTTCTATTAGAATTTATAGAAATGTAGGAAGACGGTTCTTATAAATTATCTTTATATTAAGTATTGCGCGAATCGGTAATATTTTTTTTAAGTGTCTTGAGATATTCTTCACATGCTTTTTCATCGAACGTAGACAACAAATAAAAAAAAGTCTAATTAATTGTACAAAGAACAATGTGCTAATATATACGACAGTCTCATTAAAGTACCAACGACAGAGATCAATTCGTTTGTTTCGCACGCAAGCTTATAGCTGCATCTTTCGAGCGACATTTATAATGCATTTCTTTCAAAAATAAATGTTCTCGTTCCTTGACTTAGTAAAGGAATCATGCTGATCCGTAGTCAATGCGCCATATTCTTAATATTTTCCTGTCCTAAAAGACATTTTATGTCCCATGCTCAAGAAAAATTTTTGCAAAATAATTTCGACACTATATTGTAAATATAGATTCAGCAAAGAGACAAATAAAAATGTATTAATGGCTAATTGCCCATTCTTTTATTTGCCTATGTATACGCATACAACCAGTGTATATATAAATTTCAAGTCGTTTTCGTCTCAAATATTAGCATTAATTGATAGCCTGTATCATGTATTTGAGAATGTTATAACAAAAATAATAATTACGTGATTGGCGAATATATACTAATTTTAATAAATTTGTAACTTTACAATTTTTTTACAATATCAATAAGCATCCTTTCGCTGATACTAGCATAAAATTTGACAATTCTTAAAGCCACTGTTTCCTCATTACAGCTATATTATATTATATCAAAAATAAAACAGAGTGAATTTTTTCTTGCACTACGCAAATAAATATTTTGCGCTTGAAATTCACCATTTTTTCAGACATCGCTCACGTTCAACAACATAAATCGATAAAATACAAAAACTCCCTTTTTTATTATTCTGTATTAGTAAATGCATATATAATTTTACTATATTACATGTACATATGCTACATTTTGAACAAAAATGTATCTTATGATAATTGATCAAGATTTATAATCATTTATTAATCTCCAGACTAAAGGAGTATTCGATATATTTTATCAATTTTTTACTATAATAACGTACGTGATGGCATGCAAAAAATTTATTTATTTCAATGTGTATTGGAAAGAAAAAATTCGCTTCTTGCTTTGATGTCATAATTCCATATGACTGCAATGAGAAAACGGGAGTTATAGTTTGCCACTGATATTGAAAGAAACGCAAATAAATTTTCAGATTATATTACGATTATGCAAAACAATGTATAATATAAATATATATAATATATAAACATTTATATATATATAACATATAATCTGATTTGCCGTTTTATTTTTATGCTTTGATAATACTTAATAAAAATAAAATCCTTTCTACAAGTAAAACGGAAAAGCAGTATTAGTCAATTCCTGGCTTAAAAAAGCATATTTACAGAAAAGATAGCAGCTATATGTATTGCTGGAAATTTCTGTGATACTTATGCCAATTGAAAATTTCATTTTTCCCTTTGTTGGCAAGCTGTTAAAACATATAAAGAGAATTAAAAATGTATTTTGTGTGATCGATAAAAACCATGTATTCTGTGGACGATATATACTAATTAAGCGATATCAACTAATTATTCCATGATTAACTGCTCTATAAGTAGACAATTGGTCGACTGATGTATTAAGTTTTAAGTACACTTTCATAACCGGGATAGATAAGGCATGGCTATGCTCTGTTCTTAAGTAAGCGCAGAACGATACGCAATACTGGTTGTTCTATTATAATCGTTAATTAAAGGTCAACTTTGTTTATAGATCCGCGTTTGCCACTATAAAGCTAGCGCTCGAATAGATTACATCAATTTAATAAAATTTAGCATTTTAATGCTATTTGATACCATCTCCGTATTTATACAACGCTTATCATTGTAAAAGTAAATGCTCTGCGTGTCCTCGTCAATTAAACTTTCAGTCTCATTAGCATCTACCTGTATGCGGAACGTACATACGTATCCGGCATACACCGTAGGCCGCTTCGAAATTCGTTTGTTTCAAAACAGGAATGCGAACATGCACAACCTGTATGGAAGCATTCCGGTGTAAAATAGAAAAATTCTTTTCATCTTTTTGTTAAGTTAATGCGTCCTAATTACGAAGAATGCAATCCCCTCACCAAGTACTAATGTCACTATAGACCTTACATCTGCCGTTTCCTTTTTTTTTTTTCCTAATCTTTCTTACTCTGCGATTATTTATTATATCCGATTCCCTAAGCTTATGGACCCTATAAGCGTGGAATCTGAAAAGAAAACAGAAGTCGGATTATAATTCTGCAACAATCAGGGCAATAATTATTTTATGCAACACGTGCATGGAAAGTGCCCCATTACGCACGCTACGCGTGCGTGATAGACCACTTTCCAGGCACTTGCAACATAAAATAGGGAGTGTAAGCCGTGTGTAAAAATGAAAATTCCCGGGTGCGGTTACCGCACTCGCCTTCGGCTCGTGCGTAAACTCCACACCCGGGAATTTTCATCTTACCTCACTTGTTACACAAATAACTATAAAGCAATTTTGTATTCTTACGGCATAGTTCACTGTGCTGACAATTCAGTGATCTCCTCTCAACAATTCCATTAAAAGGTTAAACGAGCTGCCTTCTCCCTCGGCGCGTTTTGCACTGAGCAATTCTTTTCCTGCTTGACATGTTCTTTGTAGATCTGGAATTCTCAACAATAGTTCACCGAATTTGGCAGGCATTTCTGGATACCTCGCGATTGTATATTGCTGCAGTGCTTGAAGGGCCTTTTCCTGAGAGGCTCTGACTTTCTCAGGCTCCTTTAATTCGCTTGTATCGGATGTTAACAGCACGATCACCTTTTAATTTCCAGAAACAGATATAAAAAAGTTGATATTATACTTGTTATCATGTCGTTGTAAATAAATAAAAAATTAGATCATATTTTCATCTCTTCATTCACAATACTTAACTATATTTAATACAATTTTTGGGTTATATTTATCTAATACAAAAAGTTGCTTTCAATTTTACATGATACAAATATATGAAACAAGCTGTATCAGGATTCAAGTACTACATATGCACTGAGAATAAGGATCTTTAATATCGAAAGGAAAAGACAAATTACCTTCATTGCAACATATTCGTATTGGTCTACTCTCAGTCTTCGCAGATTGTCGGTAAAAGCGAGCATCCTCTCGATGCAAGTCGCTAAACCAAGCTGTCTTGCTTGTTCTAGAGTAATCGACTTGCCAAGAGACACTCTTATCTCACCGGGAGTGCTCATGCTGCGAAAACAGCAGGAGAAAAGTAGTAGCTCGCACCAAGAGTTGATCAACAAACAGATTTGATCGTCGATCGAGATATTTTTAAATAATGGCAGACTCTTGCACCACTTGACGATCTTATAAAGCCGATGATCCGCGATGTTGCACAGATTAGATAGAAAGTCCGGATGCTGCGCTGAATTGCCATTGGAATTACTGGCGATTTGAGAATTACTATTGTTGGTGGTATTGCCATTTGTGGAATGTTGATCAGACGCCCCCGTTGAGGTCGAACTGGCAGGGCTCGCCGTCTCTCCTTTCTTACTGTTAGTATCGACGTTACTAGAGTCATTCGACAAACATTCCACCGCACCTCCGTTGTTTCCGGCGCCAATACCGGTCGCGGTTCCAATACCGCTGGGCGTCAGACCACTTCCGGATCCACCGAACAGCATACTGTCACCAATGTTATTCCTTGCACTTCCAAGTACCCCTCCACTGCCGCTTACCCGATCGTTGTCGTTATAATGCCAAAGATGTTCCACATCCATGATGTCTTGCAAAAGTTGAGGTACTACTTGTATCTTGTGAGAATGATTTGAATGGTATCTAACGGAATAATGGTGCTCGCTACCGGCCGGTGCCGGGCTGCAGTTGCCCGCCGTCGTCAGTTTTTCACTGGTCATACCGCCGGCAGGACTACCAACGAGATTTGCCGGTAGAGTGTAGGTACATTGATAAGTGCTTCTACCGCCTCTGGTACGATCCTCCCTGATCGCCTCGAGTTTCATACCCATGTTGAGGCACTTGTCGAAGCGGCAGGCCGGGCACTTCTTCCTCGTAGCCACGGTGACCGGACAGCCTGCGCCTCTAAGGCACACATAGTTCTTGCGATTCTGGACGGTGCGCTTGAAGAATCCCTTGCACGATTCACACGAGAAGATGCCGTAATGGAAGCCGCTTATCTTGTCGCCGCAAATCGGGCAGGGGCTGTTGATCAGTTGTTGCCTTGTGGAGATACCCGACGGCGCTGAGGGTATCCTACAGTCTTCCTGATCCTCCGCGACAGCATGGCCGTCCGGCGATAGTTCCGAGCCTGGTACGGAAGAGGACGAGTAATGATGTGCGGCGACTGCGGACGAGACTGGTAGATGCAGCGGACTACCTTGCGCCACTTGATGCTGATGATGTTGCGAGTGCGAATGCGGATGTCTCGACTGCTGGACGGGTGAATGCGTAGGCGGGCTAAGCGAACCGTAGCTGTAGCAGCTACTGGAAGCGTCGGAATTGTTCCTCGAAAGCGAATGCGACAGCGATAAGGATAACGAGGAGGTCGAATTGTTGAAGCTGTGTCGAGAGAGGGACAGCGACGAGGAGGGTATCGGACTGCCCGCTCCTAGGGCGGAATGCCGTGCCGCGTGGGGGCTCTGTGTTGGTGAACTGAAGACACTATACGCGGAATGAATAGCGGAATCTGGTGACGGCACCTACGAGAGTTCGAAAGTTAAAATGTATATGCGTATGCATAATTAAACATGTCGGATTGACGTGTTAGTACGGTATTTATTTAGGTTGTTGTATTAGCTCACCTGCGATCTAGTATGACTGTGTTTAGTTAGATGATGTCGCGGATTTAGAACAGGACTGTGATTAGGCGTCGAGTTGTTGTATCCACCGAGAAGCTTGCCTACGAGAAGCGGTAGGTCACTTTGTTGCGTCTGTTCGAGGTTTTCGATACCGCGTTGTTGCTGTTGCTGTTGCTGCAGTTGTTGATTGTGTGTCATGGGCAGTCCACCATCGTGAAAGGATCCTATTGTGAAACCTGGGCTGGATCGAAAATCCGGTTCCGACTTGATAGGAAATTTCTGTTCCATGGGCCCAGGGCTCGTGCTGCATACTTGAACCCCCTCCATAGACGTTTCCTCATTGTGATCCTAAAATCAATAGTTAATTGAAGTTTTAAATTATACACATATACACATATGCACACACAATTCTATATATTTCTACTATTTTCAATTTTTATAATTACATGATTATACAATCATGTAATTATAAAGTAAAAAATGCTTATCTACATTCAAAGTTTGACTTTATTACTTCGCACGGATTATAACATAAATGGTAAAACAGGTCGATACTGGTTATATCTTTATTATATTTCTGTGATCAGGTAGTTATCAACTTTCAGTTTTCATTAATGCAGCATTGCCAAGTAATTTTTTCAATTAACAATAAATTTGTTTGAAAGAATATAAGTTTATATTTGACTTTTGCATAAATAAACAATCATATTCTTTGCAATTATACGATTCTTAAAAAATTTATATAAATATTCTTTTCAAATCTCTGTTGGCAAATTTTATATTATTCAACAAGAGTCTAACCTGATTAGTAATTGTATTGGAAGACATTTCTTGGTCCGATAGTTCACCCTCCCATGACATAGGCCTCTCTGGCTGCTGTTGCGAATTGTCATCGCAACATCCCCCGCCGTCGCCGTTTGCATCTCCGTCACCGATTTTGTCGCCATTCTGATTACCCGATACGTCGCGTTTCTTCTTCGAACGTAAATTGACGCCTCTAAAGTCGATTTTGCTGATCTCGCCGTCGCTGTCCTCGGGATCATCGATGTCGGCCGCGTTCGCGGCGAGGATGCCGCCGATTCCGATACCGATACTATGCGGCCCCGTATTCGTGCAGATTCCGCTTGTCGGGATGGCGTTCGCGTTTCCGCATCCCAGTACCGAGGTCGATACCACCGACACCGTCACGCCATTCTGCCCCCCGAGATATTTACATACTCCTTTACCTAAAATCATAGTTGCATGTGTAATCAAAGGTATTGCAAATTTTATTATTTTGAGAAAAGGAGCTTGTTTACGAAAAACTATTTTTTTAACGATCTAACTTAGATATTAATAGAAAAATTTACAAATAAAAATTCTTTTTAAAGAATTAATATAGTATATAGATTCAATTATCACTGGTATAATAATGAATAAAATTAATAAAAATTACTTCTTTGTTGTAACGTGCCAAAAAACTTACATAATAAATTAGAAGTCCCTTTATTAATATTTGAATGGCATCATACATTAGAAAGAGATTATTTCAAATAATCACTTTGCATTTGTACTGCGTTAAGGGAATCTAATAAAGAGTCGAGAGTAATACCATCGTGCATTTCTTGATTGGGCGGTACGTTAATAGTGGTGACGGACACGTTTTTCCCCGTTTCCGCGGAGCGGCTTGGGCTCATCGTGCAGGACACGCCGATGCAGGACGAGGGGCAACAAGTCGCGGACGAGTTGGCCGAGGTGGAAGAGCTCGTCGAGGATGAGCTGGACGCGGAGCAGGAGACAGAAACGGATGCGGAACCTGCCGCCGAAGTGGGAGTCGACGAGGTCGACGACGAGGCGGCCGCCGACGATTTCCAAGACTGCGTGTTTGGCCACCAGCCCGAATCCGAGCCGGGCCCTGGCCCTGGGCCCTCGCTGGGCCCGTTTTGCTCTGACATTCTCAGCTGGTTACGCCGCTGCAAGCTCGTGATACGACTCGCGACCTCTCGATCCTCACGAAAGCGTACAGCATCCTTACGGCGGGCCCTCTTATTGTCGCCTCTGCGAATTATCGGGAGCTACGTATGGTTGTGCACGATCGATGCCGATTTCACGCTCGCTCCGTATCGCTAAAAAAGAAAAACGAATACAGTTCTTATGTGTTTAATATGCAAATCTTTCATTGAAATACTAACATTTTATTTTCGCAATATCTCTCATATCAGATAAGAATCTCCAAACAAATTATTGTGCATTAATGCCCGCTATTAACGCACTGCCTAATCACTAAATTGATACAAAAGAATATTATGCAATTAGTGAAACAAACCATGTTTCATCTTTTATTATTTTAACATTATCGATGATTTATAAAACTAACAAACTCCACTCGATATTTGATTGATTAGAACGATTTCCTATCTTTTTAGTTTAAATCGAATTCTAGCGCGAAATTCAAATAGAAATTTTATTTCGAGGTCTGATTATAAAATTCCTGGATATACTTTCCAATTCACGCGGTTTACGCAACGGGTTTCGCAAGAATGCAGAACTCCTTTAACTGTTTCGGCTCAGAGCTAACTAAGCGTCGCGTCGAATCGGTTGAATTTCTCGCACGAACGTTGGCCGAAAATCCAGTCGCACGATTAGACGCGATTTCGCGAGTGCTGACGCACAGTCGAGTCTCTTTCTCTTTCTCTCTCGCTTGTCTGCAAGGTTACGCCGATGGCCGTGCCGCAAGGCCGGCCCACTTCCGGTCCCGCGGAACCGCCGAACGACCTTCGCGCGGAAACACACGCGTTCACTCACGCCCGCACATGGTGCGAGTGCTCGGCGGCCGATCACGCGACAGACGTACATACGCGGGAAGCGATCCGTCATTGAAAAACAAAGATCGACGCGTTTCCGATCCGACGCATGATTGGAACGGCAAACGTACGCCGTTTAGATCCGTTAAGCTCGCTATCGGCCCCTTTTCAAACTGAAACGTATTGCAAAATTGTTCATTTAGGTCACACGCTCTGAAGCGTAAACCGCGCTCGGATAATTAAAATAATTTACGCAACTGGCGTATATATACGCGCCGCGTGTGTACTTATAGAGAACCTGCATGTAACTCGCGAGCACCATATATTAACGATTAACACCTTGCAAGTTGCAACTCGGGTGACGTGTCCTCGAAAGAAATAATTCAGTTCTCGCTGTTTCACGACTCCGCTGTTACATAAAGCTGTGTGCGAGTCTATAATAACAGGAGTTTAGATCAGAGAAATCGACTTTTTCTTAATAAACATTTAATTTATTCTCTGCATCTGACTTTTGAATTTACGACATTTATTTAAAGACTTGATAAAAAGTCTTAAATTCTTCAGTTAAACATGACTAAATTAATTAAAACAAGATTTTGTTGGACTTTAAATTCTTATTATATACATATATAGGCAACAAGGAAATTATTTGTATATATACTCTTTGTAAAGATAGGCGAATAGAACAATTTTAAATTAAAGATTAGGCAATTATCTTGAAAATTTACCTTTACGGTGGATATACGTTAACTTGCTTTCAATTTTAAACCGATAACTTTTACACAATTTCCTTTCGTTTCCGTCGTAAAAGGTAGAACGGCTAGAACGAGTTACAATAGATGTAGCATATATCGCTCCCATAACTCTATCTTATTTTACGCATCGTGACGCAGCGAGCTACCGCAGTCTGCAGGTATCTTGTTCGCATGCACGGAGTGCACGGCTACGACGCAAGTAACGCGGTAACCGTACTCTCGGACTCGTACGGTCTTGCCGGGCTAGTTATCGCGAGGTTCAAACGAAACGCACCGCGGCCGGTGCCTCGAGGAGTAACGTAACAACGTTAGTTACGAGCGGGACGGGCGAAGCCGGAGCGGTCGAGCATATCGGAGCATATCGGAGACCGGCGCGGTGTACGGCCTCGTCGCATCGCGTCGCCGCGATACCGCGCGTACGACGTGTCGTCCTGGCACCCGCGCCGCTATACTCGCACTCGCAGGCGTATAGCGGCGGCATGCGGCAGGTAGCCCCTCACGCGTGTGCAGGTCGCATACCAGCGCACCGAGCTGGTCTACGTTTTCGGAAACGAGCGTAGGTACATGCCGAGCGAGTGCGAGCGTGTAAGAGAGGAACGTGCTCCTCTTTTTCTCTCTTTCCTTTCTCTCTCATCTTTATTTAAACGTGAATCGGAAGGAAAGGAAGCGATACAGGAGATTGTACGCGGTAGTACGCACATGGCGAGTGTCGTTCTCTATCTCCGACTCCCAAGTCGCCTCTTCTGACTTGACTGACTTGAGAACGCGAGCGTGCGCGCGCGATAGTTACGACGCCGGCTTCGACGACGTCGGCGGTAAGTTCAAGGCCCTCCGCGACCGCCCTACCCGGCTCCTATGCACCTTCGGGGTCACGTGACACAGCTCAAGGTCTTCTCTCCCCACTTCGGGAGCGTCGCGGTCGCACCGCACCGTGTACCGCGTCGAGGCGAGTCGGTCGGACCGGGACAAGCCGGGCCACGGGCCAGGCCGCGGCCCCACGCTATCGTTGCACCGGTGCGACGCTATTGCGCTCCTTTCCGACCGGCCTCCACCGCCACCGCCGCCGCGCCGTCACCGCTGGACGATCCTCAACCGTCGTCGTCGTCTCGCGTCTTCGTCGGCGGCGGTTAGCCGTAGGTGACGACAAACGATGACTACGACGATGGAATCTCGTGCCGCCTCCTCCGCCTTCTCCTCCTCTTTCTTCTCTTCTTCCTCCTCTTCCTCCTCCTCCTTCTCCTCCCGCTTCTCCTTCCACTCTACCGTCTCTTTCTCCTCCTGCTCCTCCTTATTCTTGTGCATCGAGATACGGACTCGGGTCAGTGACATCGCGTAAGGACGGTCAGAGGAAGCGTCGGCTCGCCGAGAGAGCCGAGAAAAACGCCGCCGCGCCGCGCCGCGCCGGGCTCCCTGGGCCCTCCGCTGCCTTCGACAGGTAGGCGCACGAGCGAGCCGCTTTGACGTCCTTTGTGCCCTTTACGTCGCCTTTGTCGTAAGGCTTATTTGTTACCGTTGCCCGGCACAATGGGAAAAGACAAGTATAAAAAAGTGGCAATTGCCGCGACGCTTTAAAATGTAACATATAGCGGTAAGCAACATCGTAATCGCCACCGTTAAGATAAATGCTTTTGTTTGTCGAATCCGTCGACGGGGATGCGTCAAATCAGATGCGTTCCCACAGCGTTCTCTTTTCTCGAAAGTATACAGCTTTGAGAAAAATTATTCCACGTAGTTGATTACAATTTGCATTTATACGCAACTTTTTGCCTTGTAAAAAAAAACATATAAAAAGGTAATGAAGGAAATATCAAAGGCGGATAAAAATGAGTCACCGCGGAGAGCGACAACCGTAAATGCAGTTAGCGAAATCCGCTCGGCTAACTCCTACGTACGTTCTCCGTACGTAAGCCGATTTTCTGCCCCGCGTTGCACCTTATCCTCTTTTTGCAGCGAATCAGCAGCAAGCTCATTATAAAATGTGCAAGTTGTCCGTGGGATCTCCTCATTTTACTCGGCCGTATGATATCCGTTTTGTCTGACATAGCAGGCTCGCGAACAAAGCATCGTCCTCCGCACCACGATAACACGATCGGGCTTTATCATACGCGAAACGATAGCCCAAGTGCCGTACTACCGTAGGATACTACCCCGACAAAATTATGGCGCTTTCTGAAAAGGAAGTACCTGATAACTAAACGATTCTCGGAATTTTCCGAGACAACAGCAGCGTATAATGTCAATCGTGTTTGCTAATTGATGAGGATAATTAATAGCCATTATAAAATGATTACGACTCGCAAAACACACCTCATTAACATAAATGATGGCTTCGTAGTCCGAGGTTATTAATTTTTGTAAAATTATTAGCCACAATAATTCATATATATTGCTAAATCAGCTGTCATAACGAAGCCATAAAATTCATTAAGAATAAAACCACGTTTCTTGTATTTTAAGTGGCATTTAACTTGAGAAAAAAATCTGATAAAGATGTCACAGAATGAAGGCTCGAACCCTGATTGGAGTGATATTTTTCGCAATAAATTCTTTACCGTGATTTAATAAGGATGCTTATTAGCGTCAAAATTTAAAATCAATTCGATTTAAATATGTGGATTTACTATTCCAAGAAAGAGCTGTGCTTTAAAGACTGACAAAAAATCTGCGCGCAGTTAACTGAGTTTGGGAAAAAGTATAAAAAATTCACACAATATTATATATATATATATATATATATATATATATATCAATATATTAAGTTACCAAGATCTAGTCCAGATCGTAAATGGCGAATTTTCTCTCTAGACTCTAATTGATCGAAAAAAATCTGACAAATATGTATATGTGTGTGTGTGTGTTACAGATAGGAAGCTTTCGAAAATGTTGCTGACTAAAGTTCGCAATATTTATAACGATGAATTGAATTCACGTAATATCTCTCATATAATATCAAAGCTTGTCGGCCACCCTTTTCTTAACAATGCCGCTTTCTCGTGGAAACGCGCAACGCGTCTATGGTAACGGGCATAAGGTTATTTACCGTCGAAGCCTTTAGTCAATGACCGTTCGATCGGTGCCGTTTCTTGACATCGGCAGCAGGGCGGGCGGGCGTCTCGTCTCGGCGCGGCGCGGCGCGGAGCGGAGCGGAGCAAACGCGACAGTGGTTGCGCGTGATGCACGCGCAAGTGCCTGGCTTCCTCGTATCTTGACACAAGCTGCAGCAGGCGGCATGGCAGGTGACGCGGAAGAGGGATCGACGACCTACGGAATATACGGCGGCTCTATTTTAAGCGGGTCGCGAACAGAGTCCCCGATCGGCAGCCCCGCGGAATGACCGTGAAAGACGCGACGCGTCCGCTCCGCGCCGCGCTACATCGCGCCGCCCTATTTGTCTCTCCTCGTGCGCATTACGTTAGACGTTAGACCTCCTCGTCCTCGACGAGGAAACACGTCGGCCAAGTGTAACATTCGCGTGCAACGAGTTGGCATGCCAGAATGGCATGATTGCTCGTGCGCCTTAATCCGCTTCGGACTGCCGAGCAATTTTTGCGGTTGAACGTCAATTTT